TTCCAATCTAATATCATAGAACTTCTATGGGGATTAGTTGCCACTCCAAGGCCTCGAAGCGTTTGAGTGGCTTGTTGTAATGGCCAATGTTTTGGCCATTCTTGACGAGATATGATGCTAAGGTCAGCACCTGTGTCCAGTAGCCCATTAAACTCATGTCCTTGAATATTTAGTTTTAGCATTGGGTGAGAATCTAAATTTAAAGACAACATAGCCCAATCTATACCTGTGGAGCCTAATCCCCTGGAACCTCTTTCTACACTATGACTAGGAAATTTATTATGTAGGCTGGGTATTATTAACAACTGTGCTATTCTATCTCCAGGTGAAATTACTGATATACCTCTTGGAGAACTAGCTGTAATTTTTATTTCACCTACATAATCGGGATCAATTACCCCAGGACTTATCATAAGTCCTTTTAATGTAGATGAACTACGTCCCAATAATAAGCCTACTGTTCCTTGGGGAAGAGGTCCTTTTACTCCTGTGGGAATGATTTGAACTCCCATCTCTGGCATTAGTACTGCTCTGGCAGAGGCGCAGATGTCCAACCCTGCGCTCCCTCGGGTTTGTCTGATGAGGGATTTAATGGACAATGTGTCCTGGGCACTAGCCTGATGGTGTTGCTGGGTTCCTCCACTGCCCCGTAGATTTGTGGTTGTGGGCCCCTGAGCATTGGGCCCCCTGTCCGTTTTTTGGCAATGGAGCCTGATGCCTTTCTCCATGTTATCGTGGATAAATACCTGGTCCTTGTCCATTTTTTGATAAGGGAGTACCCTCTATGGTGGTTTGAGAACGGCATTCATTAGCCCAATGTCTCCCTCTACGGCATCGTGGGCAAATACCCAGTATTCTATTTCTTTGATACCTAGTTTTGTTAAACCCTCCTCCTATGGGGCAACTCCTTTTAAAATGTCCTGTTTGTTCACAATCATAGCATGTTTTTGGCCTGGCATCTAAAGCCTGTTGTACTGCAGCTGCCAAGACTTGCCCTTGTTCATTAATATCTCTACATAATTTAATATATGTGTTTAAATCTTCATGTCTCCATGGTCTAATAACCTCTCTGCAGCAACGATTTGCTTGGTCATAAGCCAGTTGTTTTATTAATGGCATTGCTTGTTCTGTATCCCCAAAATTTTGGCAGCCGTTTGAATTAGCCTATCTACAAAGTCAGCGTAAGGTTCATTAGCTCTCTGTATTACCTTAGATAGCTGACCTTGTAAATCTCCATGTCCTTGTAAAGTCTTCCATGCCCTAACTGCGTCTGCAGCAATTTGTGCATATATTTGTTGCCGTTGACCCTCATAAGGTCCTTTTCCTAACAACATATCTAGATTTCTTTGAGGGTAACCGGCTGCTGCATTTCGCCTAGCTGTCTCCGCGCAAAATTCCTCATTGGCAACCTTCCATAACAAATATTGTCCTCCATTTAGTACAGATTTACACATGCTAGCCCAATCTGCTGGTGTCATGTCCAAGTTAGTAATGGACTCGACCATGCTTACCGTGAAGGGAGCTTGGGGACCATAGGTTGTTACAGCCTCCTTTAACTGCTTCACTGTTTTAAAATCTAAAGCATGGTGAATTCGCTGCCCTCCTACCTGTTCAAGTACAGGGCATGCTAATCTTTGAAGTCCTGTCTCAGGATCCCATTTATCAACTACGGGGTTTGAGGGCCATTCAGCTGTCTCCATCGGTGGGGCTGTTGGTTGAATTACACCCTCTTGTGATAAAATGGAGTTAGTAACAGCCTCCTGTTGTGGCCTTTTTCCTAACAACCCCTTTTCCTTTAAATTTTCTTCCTCTGTCTGACTAGCTCGAGAGACCTTCTCTTTTGCTTGATCTAAAATGTCTTTCTCCATGGTCTGAACCTCTAACAATTTACTTAACATATTTTCGGTTTGTTTTTTACTAATTTCTAATCTACTATAAAGATAACACAACCCAATAAGATAACACAAAACAAAACCGAAACTGAATGAAACAAAAACGGAATAAAAAATCGTTGTATCAATTTTCTCTTCCTCAGGGCCGACAAACTTCAAACATTTAGTCAACCATTTTTTCCAGTTTGCCTGAGAAATTTCTAGGGATAGGCAGCTTGAAACAAAAACAAAATAAATCAAAACAAGAACTCACTGTTTTTTTTTTTTTTTTGAAATGGTCACCCATTCTTTTGCTCTTCCTCAGGGACGAGCAATTTCACTTACCTCCAAGTTTCAGATGTTCCGCGTACGGACCACCAAATGCCGCAGTCTGGCTGGGCATAAAATCACGAGCCACCACACAGCTTGTAGATTCAAACAGCAACTCTTTATTCCCAAACTCACACCAGCTGTCTACAATCACGTTCTGGGGAAATCCACGTTCTCTGCCCAAATCCACCCCCACTGGGCTTCTGTCTCCCAAAAAATACTGTCTGAATCCCATGAGAACTCAAGGGGAACTCAGGCAGCAGGATACGCCCTATTCCCAGCAGGAATAACCTTAAACCTGGATTGTCCTAAACCGGGAACGCCCTAAACCCGGATTATCCTAAACTGGGAACACCCTAAACCCGGATCCGCCCTGGTCCTTGAGCAAGGTCACCTACATGCAATGTCACTGCAAAATGTCCTATTTCCAAGAGTCCTTCCACTAAGCAACATGGGGTACACTGGCAAGGAAATTGTCATACCTACTTGGCTAATGGCTCCTAGCACAGAACAAGGGGGGAATTCATTCTAAGCCTACCGTTTTCGACTGTATGACTAAGAACTTTAAGAAAGGGGTGTTCCAGAGACTATGAAGCTAAATTAACTCCTGGAAAACTCCAGACCTTCTGTGAAATAGATTGGCCTTCCTTCAGAGTAGGTTGACCCTCCAAAGGTCACTCGATAAAGAGCTACACGGGTAGGTGCCCAAATTAGTTTGAGACCAAAGAGGGGGAAAAGTGTCACTTTGGAATCCAAGCTGCTGTGGGATGGATATGCATGGCTGTTTCATCCATTCTTTGGCTCTGGGATTCTGCCAAGTTCCTCCCTAATGCTAGGAAACAGAAGGGACAAATGGAAGGGATCTAAAAGGACAACTAGATCAGGCTCTAGACCTTTTAAGGGTACTTAGAAGTCTGCACTCTGCCTTGGAATGATATAGGTGTTGCCCCCAACAGCAGGGATTAACTCTGTAATTTTCTGCAAAAGCCTGATAAGAAAGCCAGACAGATCCAGGAATATCAGGAGATGCCCCACTTCCTGCAGTTTTTCCTCTTTGCTCCAAAGCACCGAGATTACCCTCAGGACAGCAGGATGGGGAAGAGTGCAAGAAACCTGTTGGGGGGTTGAGCCTCTAAGACATCAAAATTACCCCAGATGGTCCTCTTGGTCTTATGTTAAAATATTAGAAAGAATCCTAGGAAAAGTAGGAAAAAGAACTCAAAAGATGATAAAATACTATAGTTTTATTTGGACTCAGGAAGCTATCCTAAAGCCTTCAGTATTCTGACTCAAACTTTAGGCCTCTTCAAGTCCAAAACTCCCTGACTTATGCCTCTGGGAGTGATGCCAACGATGAGGGGGGAAGAGAATCTGAGCCAGCTGCAGTGGCTTCCACTCCTCCACCTGCCCTGCATCCTTCACTATCCACACTAAAAAAGGAATTAAAGCAATGCCACAGGATATTCAGATTTTATTTTCTGGGGAGGAACAACCCTGAAGAACAACCATGGCAGCTTGGGAGTAATTATGGCCATGTCATTTTTTTTTTTTTCCTTCAAAATCTCTGCCTGGTTTAAGCTCATGGTTTCTGTGATGAATTCACACTGGGTCCTATGCACCTAAGTCAATATGTTTTATTCCAACTAGTCTTGTTTTGTCCAGCTGGAGTTTGTAGTCCTCCGTTTTTCTTGCTGGTTTGTTCATAGATCAGTTATTCAAGGAAAAGCAATAAAATCTTTGTTCCTTGTTGGTTTTATGGATATTTGTGTACATTTTTGTATTATCAGTTGTGTTGACATATATCATGTACATAGTATCAAAATTGGCTTGTAGATAAATGAGTACTCATAAATTCATAAATTTAATAAGTGGATCCAAATAACTTTTAGTCCACATGACTTAAAAATTTAAGAAACAGTTCAATTTAAATTGGTTAAATAAGAGTTTAATGGGCTGGGGATGTGGCTCAAGCGGTAGTGCGCTTGACTGGCATGCATGCGGCCCGGGTTCGATCTTCAGCACCACATACAAACAAAGATGTTGTGTCCACTGAAAACTAAAAAATTAATATTAAAATTTTCTCTCGCTCTCTCTCTTTAAAAAAAAAAGAGTTTAAGATTGCTTTGTTTCTGGATCTTCAATAAAGTTACTAAGAGTTAAAATTCTTTAGTAAAGTTACTAAAAGTTAGAGAGTTAAAATTCTTAAAAAAAAAATTTTTTTTTAGTTGGCAATAGACCTTTATTTAATTAATTTATTTATGTATTTGTATGTGGTGCTGAGGGTTGAGCCCAGTGCCCCTCACATGCCAGGCAAGTGCTGTGCCACTGAGCCCAGGCCCAACCCCATTTTTCTTTTCTTTTTTTGGTACCAGTGATTGATTAAACCCAGAGGTACTACATCCCCAGCCCTTTTAATATTTGATTTTGAGACACAGTCTCTCTGAGTTGATTAGGGCCTCACTAAGTTGCAAAGGCTGGCTTTGAATTCGTGATCCTCCTGTTTCAGCCTCCCAAACCACTGGGATTACAGACATGCATCACCATGCCTGGTTTAAGAGTTAAAATTCTAACAGGTATAATTCTATATAAAAAAAGTATAAAATGTTTCAGTTGTGTAAATAACATAAAGCATTTCATCTTAGTAAAATGGAGTAACAAGAAAAATTCAGAAATTTCATAAAGATTGTTTCTGATGTAAATTTTAAAAAAGTGTCAGCAACTAGGAAAGAAATATGAAAATGTTCTAGGTGGAAATATAAAAGACCAGAAAGAAAAAGAACTTTTCTGGATAAGTGTTGGGGTTTAAGTGTGCAGAGTTTAGCTCCCTCAGGCCTGACATTTTGCAAAAGCTGTGGCTGTGATTTAGGTCAGCTGAGGCAAACCTCAGCTAGGAGGAGGAAAAGTTCTCTTCCCCTTATCACAAGCAACAAGTTCTGCATGGTTTGGCCAAGAGGAAGAAGCTTCCTGCATACTTATCCTGGGAACAGTACATTCTGAAGAAACAAATGCATCCTCAGAGGACTAGATAATGTCTACAAAGAACTTTAGGAGGGTACTTATCAAACAAACAGGAACAATTTGAATCTAGCTCTGTGTATCCTCTGAGGCATGATATTTGGACAATGTGGGTAAAGTGTTATTGAAGAATTGCTTGCTTTGTTAGAAGAAGTGTATAAAAGGAACTTGCAAATAAACTTCAGCATGCAGTTGCGATTGCTGCCTTGGCTCTGCATCCCCTGTGTCCTGGTTATTTAGCGACCCTTACCCAGGGACCCGAACGCTCTAGACGTTCACAATTGGCACTGGAATAGGGACCCTGCTGGATTGATAGGAAGGGTAAGTTATTTTTCTTTATATTACAGGGTGATAGGACAATCTTCATCTTCTCCTTTTTTACGTATTCTTAGGCATTCACTTGCTGTCTATGGTATTAGTATTTCTCATTCTGATATAGAGATGTGTCTTAAGGTGGTCAGGGAATGGAATCCCTGGTTCCCGGAGGAAGGATCTATGGATGTAGATAATTGGAAACGGGTCCGTCACAATGTTGAAAAGGCTATGAGGCAAGGTGAAAAAATTCCAATTCGGTTTTGGTCTATCTGGTCTATTTTATATACAATGTTTAAAGCTATGGAGGAAGAAAGGTTGATTGGCAACTTACAAAAGGAGTTAGCTCCCTCTATTTTAGATCTCCCTCTGGATGTTAGTGAAAAAGAAGAGGTAGTAAAAGATACGCAACAATTGACTCATAATTCTTCACAAAATTCTGCTGATTTAATTGGTACTGCTACAGAAAAGAAAACGAAAGTAAAAGTGATAATTGATGATCTCTCCGTTTTGGAGCAATTCAAACTTGTTATGGAGGAGGTTCTGGGACGTCTTTATAAATTAGAAGCTAAAATAGACCCTAAGCCTTTATCGGGAACCAGGCCCTCTGCCCCTCCGGCCACCAATCCTTTTTTGGCAGCTTCTTTAAAGGCTGTCCAGGAAATGGACTCAGAACCTTCTGATGATGAGGACGAAACTCCTTTCTTTGCTTTTCCTATAATCAGGCCTGATCCAGTTAATGGAATGGCACATCCACCTCGGTATGAGGGGATTGATATTGATCATATTAGCAGATTAAAAAAGGCAGTGACAATGTACAGACCTCAATCTCATTATGTAAAAGCATTGCTTAATGCTTTTGCTACTCATTATAATAATTTTGCTCCTGAGGATTGGAAGATTGTGAGCCGTGCTCTTCTACAGGAACCTGAATATCTTCAATGGCACATGTGGTTTTTAGAAGGATGTACCACTAAGGCTAGAGAAAATGGTAACAGTCAAAACCCTGTTATTCATGCCATAGGATACCCTATGTTATCTGGCACTGGTATATATGATGACATTCAACATCAAATTAATATTCCTCCTGAGATTCATGAGCAATTGAAGGAAATAGCTTTAGAAGCTTGGGACAAAATTAGACCTTGTTATTGGTCCAGTACATAGGAATTATGTAAAGTGTTAAAGCAACTGTATATATTTAAATTGTGTGTGTTAAAGATTAGGAAAAAAGATAATGGTTATATTTCCTAAATGAAATAACATTCTTCTCTCCACCAAATTTTTTTCTGAAGTTAATGGCATTTGGATCAAGGTTTTATTAAAAGCTACATTTTATAACACTGGCACAAAAAAAGTAGTTTTAAGCTTGTTTGCACAGTTCTTTTTTTCCATTGGAAATGGAATTCATTACCTTAGGTCTTTTAAAATAGTGTATTATCGTTGGGGCTAGCTCTATGCTTGAAAACCAGTTTATTTATAACCTGTTGTAAGTGCTATATTCTGTTTGCAGTTAGGAAATGCAAAATTTTAAGTGATCTCCTAGCTTGTAAGCAAACTGAGATACACTATACCTTTTCTATATAAAAATGAGTTAATATGTCAATAAATCAACTCAACAAGGTGGATTTAATATTACCCTTTCCTATGTGTTTTATCTAATTCTTTTGGTTGTTAATATGGTGATAAATGAAAGTCAAGGTAAATTTTAAATATTAAGATTTCCGATTTATTGATCTTGAATTATGCCACCATGCTTATGTAAAAATGAAGGTGGCACCATGGTAAAACTTAATGAGAAGTAATTTCTCAGTTGTAATAATTTCAATTTCTCTTTCTTGTGATCTCTCCTTCCCTGTTGTCTTGAACTATAGCAAAAGGATACTACATCTCTCATTACTATAGTGATGAGGTTATTGAAGTTATATAAACACATCTCAATCTCTGTTTCTTTGAAAGGTATCTATTAAGTCCTACTAGGTGATTGACAAGACTAAGTAGGGAAAATAAAGGTAAATGTGATTCATATTTTGCACACAAATGCAAAATTTTATAACCACATGACTTCATAGTTGTGATCTCAAAAGGAATTTCTCCTTTAATTTTTCTTGCAGTTAATGTAAGAATACTCTAAATCTCTAAGCTTCTGAAGTATTAGAGATAAAGATGATCTAGTAAAGATATAGCTTATCCATTTAACATGTGTTTATTTTTCCTTATGTACTCAAGATGATTTATTTGTTCAGCTCAGTGATATTACAGCTAAAAAACATTCATTAGCAAAAGGAGAAGCAATCTACATCTAACAGAGGAATCAAAAATGTTTCTTATTTTTGTTGAGTTAAATGTTTGACTCTAACACTTTTCTTTATACAAAACATAGATTCTCCAAAAATATTATGCCATATGCTGACCAGATCGCATTATTAATTGAACAAGGAAGACAGAGAAGTATAACTTTGACGGGCAATGACATTTCTCACATAATTACCCCATTACCTAAAGATCAATGGACTTACTTGGTACAAATGACTGAAATGCTACAAATAGCGTTGGCTGAATATACCAGAGGTATTTCCTATCATTTCCCCAAGGGCAAATTATGGGACATGTTAAAACGTCAACAATTTGTAATCAATAATATTATTAGTGAATATCCTTTAGACAATGTTGTTACTGTGTTTACTGATGGATCAAAAACTAAAAGTGCTTATTGGACAGAGAATCAATATTGGGTTCAAATAACAAACTATCAATCTGTTCAACAAAATGAATTATTTGCAGTCATTCAAGTTTTAAATGATTTTGATAATCAAGACATTAACATTCTTACTGACTCTGCATACATGATGGGAGTAATTAAAAATATATTTACTGCAGTAGCCTATTCTAATAAACCTACTCTACAAAATCTTTTTCTTACTTTACAAAAACTTTTACAAGCTCGTAATGCTTGCATATTTATAGATCATATTAGATCACACTCTAAATTACCAGGATTTTTGACATATGGTAATGCTCAGGTAGACAAATTAGTGATGTTCAAAACTCCTCAAGAAGAACATAATCTGTTTCATTCTAATGCCGGACATTTACACATTAAATATAAGATTCCATATAAACAAGCAAAACAAATTATTAAAAATTGCCCAATTTGTCGACCTTTACATCTTAGGATTGTACCTTCCGGAGTAAATCCTAGAAGGATTCAACCTAATGAATTATGGCAAATGGATGTTACACATGTTCCCTTGTTTGGACGTTATTCTTGTGTTCATGTTACTATTGACACATACTCTAAATTTTTGTGGGCTACGGCTCAAATTGGAGAAACCACCCATCATGTTATTCAACACTTAGTGGAAACATTTGCTATTATGGGAATTCCCGCTATGATTAAAACTGATAATGGTCCGGCTTATACTAGTAAAAATTTTAAAGATTTTTGCAAATTATATGATATTGTTCATCTAACTGGAATAGAATATAATCCACAAGGACAAGCTTTAGTAGAATGTGTACATGCTACGCTTAAAACACAAATTAAAAAATTAAAAAGGAGGAAAATGACAGATTTAAATATGCACTTGTTTAGACATTTACAAAATCAACCTAAAGCATTGTTACATCAAGCCTTATTTATTTTAAATTTTCTTAATCTTCCACAAGGAGAAATATTGACAAGAGCAGAATGACATTTTGAGCAAAAAACCTTAGAAACAGTTCATGAACCAATTTGGATAAAAATTGCCCCAGATGCTGAATGGCAGCCAGGGATTTTACTTTGTAGAGGAAAGGGCTATGCTTATGTTTCAACAGAAAATGGACACCGGCAGTGGCTCCCAGGGCGGTGGATCCAGACCCGTCACAATCAGAATGGCACCAAGGGGGGCACCCTATCCATTACCCCAGCCAAGGAATCAAGATCCTGAGCTTGATGTTCCGGTGGCAGCAATGGCGCATCTTCATCTTGGGGCCCGATGTCGTCGACGTCCTAATTTCTCTCCCTTACCTACGTGGGGTCAAATTAAAAAGCTAGTGGGGAAGGGCAGAAGGTGCTGCAACGAACAGGGAAGAATTGCACCCCCAAAAATTTATTTCTGGCTATGTGTGCATTATTGACAGTGTCTTCCGCTTCTGAGGTACAAAATAATAATACTCACTATTGGGCCTATATTCCCAATCCACCTTTGCTGGAACCTGTTACTTGGGGTGACATGGATATTACCTTATATACTTCTCCTGCTCTTTTATCTCCCCCTTGGAACAATTTAACATATATGAATATTAATGATGGAACACCATTTAATTTTACTTATAAGAATAATAACAGTAAACCTATATGCTTGGATGTTCCTCCTTGCTTACAATTAGATTGGCAACATTGGATACTAGTTGGAAATTGGAGTAATAGTTCTCGAACACATTTACAACGGTTATCTGCATGGTCTGTCAATATGACCTGGGATAATATAACTGAACAAAAATACCCTATGTTCCCTGAGTGCCCTGATTTTACTTATCAGGACTTGAGATTCTCCCCTTTCATATGGCAGGAATGTTTAGGCAAATTTGGGAAGATATTTCAGAATATTATCATGTGGGGTCCTTACGGGATGTTCCTAAAAAATTGTTCAGAATAGAATATTACTGCTTGTGATTTATCTTTTACATACAGAATCCCGCCAAAAGAGAGATGGAATGAAACCATTCGGAACGACAAATTGATGGCCTGGGGTGATGGCAGAATTGCTGATCCACGCTTGGCTTCAATGCAGTACCCTCATCATTTACAAACACATTTATGGAAAATTGCTGCTGCAACTAAACCTGTAATTTTGTCTAATGGCTCTTTCTCTGGGACTAGTCAATCTGCTGCTTCTTATAATTTTACTGTATTTAAAGAATATAATATAACCACATGTGTGCCCATGCCATACCTGTTCTTAATTGGAAATGTTACTTTTGATGAGGGAATTTTATGCTTTAATTGTAAATTGTATACCTGTATTAATACATCTGTTTCTATTCCTCCTGGTTATTCCATTGTGCTGTTACAACAGCGCTCTCACATTTGGCTTCCTGTAAATTTACAAAGAACATGGTCCCAAGATCCTGTAAATACTTTGGTTCTGGAATTTTTTAGACAATTGTTAAAACGTACTAAACGTTTTGTAGGAGTTGTTGTTGCTGTAATTCTAAGTCTTATTGCAGTGACTACAGTCGCTACAGTTTCAGGGATAGCTTTACATACTTCTTTACAAACAAAACATTTTGTTGAGGAATGGCATAAAGATTCGCATGAGTTATGGCTATCCCAGACTCAAATTGATTCTAGACTTCAAACTCAAATAGATATTTTAAGACAGACAGTTAATTGGTTAGGAAAAAAGATACTCACCTTAGAACAAGAAATTGGATTAAAATGTGACTGGATGGGGCTGGGGATGTGGCTCAAGCGGTAGCACGCTCACCTGGCATGCGTGCGGCCCGGGTTCGATCCTCAGCACCACATACAAACAACGATGTTGTGTCTGCCGAAAAACTAAAAAATAAATATTAAAATTCTCTCTCTCTTTAAAAAAAAATTAAAAAAAAAAGTGACTGGAATTCAACTTCTTTCTGTATAACTAATATACAATATAATCAAAGCTTACACGAATGGAATATCATACAAAATTATCTCAATGGTAATGAAACAGCTCAATTAATGATCGATTCTTTACAAAAGGATATATTTGAAATTTTTGGAAAAGGGTTTCAACATGATGATGCTGCACAAATAGCTGAATTGTTTTTAAAACAGTTAGAAGGATTAAATCCCAAAGGAATTGCTCAAAGTCTTACCCATATGGCTGGAGGAGTGGGAATAGTGTTATGCTTAGTTATTATCCTGTTTATATATTGTATGTGCATAAGACCATCTCAAAACGCTATATTAACTTTGTGGAAAGCTGTTTTAGAAAAGCAAAATTAAAAAGAAGGAATTGTTGGGGTTTAAGTGTGCAGAGTTTAGCTCCCTCAGGCCTGACATTTTGCAAAAGCTGTGGCTGTGATTTAGGTCAGCTGAGGCAAATCTCAGCTAGGAGGAGGAAAAGTTCTCTTCCCCTTATCACAAGTAACAAGTTCTGCATGGTTTGGCCAAGAGGAAGATGCTTCCTGCATACTTATCCTGGGAACAGTACATTCTGAAGAAACAAATGCATCCTCAGAGGACTAGATAATGTCTACAAAGAACTTTAGGAGGGTACTTATCAAACAAACAGGAACAATTTGAATCTAGCTCTGTGTATCCTCTGAGGCATGATATTTGGACAATGTGGGTAAAGTGTTATTGAAGAATTGCTTGCTTTGTTAGAAGAAGTGTATAAAAGGAACTTGCAAATAAACTTCAGCATGCAGTTGCGATTGCTGCCTTGGCTCTGCATCCCCTGTGTCCTGGTTATTTAGCGACCCTTACCCAGGGACCCGAATGCTCTAGACGTTCACAGATAAGGAAGTCTTTTGTATGATAAAGTAAACATATTGTAGAGTGTCTAAGTATATTACACAAAGTTTGTGGAGCATATATCTCAAAAGTTTGAGATATGTATGAGTAAGTTGGCTATAATTAGCACAATCAGCTAAAGTTATTTAAAGTTTTTAAGGTTTTTTTTTTTAAGGTCAAATATTAATGTACTGATATAAACCAGAATTTAATTCTCTATGTGTTGAAGTAATAAGGGCTTTGTAAAATAATCTGTTCTTATCCACCAAGATAATTTCTTCTATTAGTTTTCATTATTTATGGGAACTAATCTTAAAGGATTAAGGTTTGTCCAACTCTGGTTAAACAAACAACTGTCATTTAGATTATAACACTGCACTATTTTTTTTTTAAGAAAACTATAAATTTTTCTTAAGTTTAAACTTGGTTAATATAAATATACCAGTGTAATTGTAATGCTGTTACTGGTTTCTTTGTATATTAGATGCATTCATGTCCTCCAAATATACAATTCTTTAAAATAAAAGTTTTAAGAGCATTTTACCAAGCTGATGTTCTCCAAACTAAAGTTTTCTGTAGCAGCAGTCTCTTTCAGACTAACATAAAAAGAACAAATTTAGTTAGGAATTTAATATTTTGTAATTGGATAAAAGTAACCTGTCATCAATAAGTTACATACAACATTTTGTGTTACTTTTACAGTGGGATGGGAACTTGAATGCATTTTTGAAAGGTAATGAGGAGAGTCTATTTACAGGTTGACAATATGGGATATGAAGACATTTTGTCACTTTCCCGCAAAAGGGACAAAAACTCTCTTAGCTTGTTTGATTTATGTTTCAAATGTAATGTTGGATTATGTTGACTAATATTCATGTAGACTCAGGAAACAATATATGAAAACTTTATAAAATAATATTTTAAAAAGAGGTAAAGATCAGCTTCAGAAATAAAGCAACTTACCTAAAGATTTGTCAAAAGGCCACCTCATCTGAGTTAAAACTGCTTCTTACCTTATTCCATGTTAGGACAACCACTTAAGTTCATAAGATGAGCTTTTTGTTATTGTTGTTTTTGTTGTTGTTATAAAGATTACTGTGATCTAAAAATAAATAGGGAATATAATGTGTAACTAAATAAAGGCTTGGGATTATAAAAATTATGTTTCTTGATGCATAGTTATTATACAAACTAAATATGTTTTTACTTTTGTTAATTTCATTTTGTATTTTTCTTATAAATTTTAGAACTGTTGTCTGTCAGTGCTTTGTAAAAGTACCACTTCTGAATTTCAGATAATAAGCCATCATTTATAGGCAAGACAAAATATAAGGCTGACTTCCAGTATAATTCTGACTCCAATTAAATGAAGAGGTAAATAACTGTAGACATTAAATTTATAGACATTAAATATAAAATCCAGTTCTCCAGCGTGGTGAAATTGGCCTGCTAGATGTTTAAAACCCAAACATGGAGACTAAAGTTAAGAAAATAAAAGAGCCAGGAAAATAGCCAATATTTGACTCTTGCCTTCTGAGGTCAGCTTGCATCCAATGGAGGGACTTTACTAAAGGCTTTACAATTTTGGCCCACTTGACTGCCTAATCAGTCAATGGGACCCTAGAGAATAGGAAGCCAATCAGTGCACATTCTCCAAAGAGTAGCGTCACTGGAAAGGGAAATGTCCCTAATGCTTCCAAGGAAAGCCACAGAAGGTCAGCTATATCTTGACCTATCCTGGTGGATGGCACTAGAGAAGCTAAGAGGCTTCTCTCGATTTCTCAAGAGTGACCCCTGAGAAATCTCAGTTGATTTTGAACAGTAGATAAGGACAAGGTCAATTTTGACCAACTTAGTCTTGAACACCTGGGTGGAGAGTTATAACCAAAGTATAGCTTCACATGGACTGGTTTTCATAGCTAAGGTGATAGAATTGGTGAAAGGGGTTGAAAGTCACGTGGAAGTTAACACTAAGTATACTGTATCAGGAAACCCACCTACATTGAATCAAGTGTTGTCAATTGCTTTGTTAGTGATTAATTATATCCCCATTAGACAGACAAGATTCTCCACTTATAAAATTATTTTGGGTGCCCTCCTCCCATTATAAGGTATATGGAAAAGTCTAAAAATTGAACAACATATGTCTACCCCTTTAAACGAGAAGATGCTATTTGGGTAATAGAATGGAATATGCAACTCCTAAAGCCTCCTTGGAGTGGTCAATTCATTGTCATTTTATCCACCCCTACTGCAATGAAGGTGGCCAATGTGGCCCCTTGGATTCATAACAGTGGGGTAAAACCAGCCTCTTATGGTTGGAGTGTATTCCCAGTCCAGCTGCATAGTGCAACTTAACCATCCAAAATAAACAAATTGCACCCCAAGAGGACTTTGAGGACAATAGTCCTGCTTTAATCACTCTGGAAGCTGACTAATCTGTGCACAGCTGGAGCTTGAGGAACCAACTGATAACTGGGATAAATGGACTACTCTTATTTTCTGTATTGGTCTATTTACTATGATGCTTCTTAAGGCACTTATGTTTGGTCCCTGCATCCTTAACATACTGACCGAATTTATCTCCTCCCACCTAGAGGACATAAAGTTCCAAATGGTTCTCCAGAATTACCGGCAGCTTAATTTAGAGGATCCGGACAGATATGATGCCCCTTAAAAAGGTCAAGAGGGCATCAAAAAGGGGAATGAGATGACAAAAACAGACCCAGTTGTAAAATGAAATTCCAAGAACATTATGTTGAGAAACAAATGCTTGGGGAAAGGGTCAGTTTCCTTCCCCTTCTGTCAGCCAGCCATTCTACAAGAAATCTAATTAATCATGAGTCCCTACAGTTTGAATTGTAAATAACTGCCTCTAAGAGTCTAACTTCACCCTTTTGAAAATATAAACACCATGTGCATGGCTTTCAGACACAAGGCTAGAGATTCCTCAGATGTGTGAAAAGAGCAGGTTTCTCTTACCATTTTTTTTGCTTCTATAAACACACTTCCCACCAGAAACTGTGCAATGCCTTCAGTCACATGGATTAGAAATTTTATGACACTCAATAGCTATAACTGTTATGAGAACCTGTGGATCAGGGCTCAGATTTTGGAGTTTGTTCTCCTCTGGACCTTCAGGTGTAAAATAAAATTTGGAGTTCTCCTTCTCTCTGAGTATTGCTTGCTGCTTTCCGACCAGACTATTTCCTGCAACACCTTAACCCTTCCCTTAACCCTGTGGTTGCCTTGACCCTTTTTATGTATGCCACTGATGGATGTGGTGAACCCTGTGAATTTATTGTTATTCCATAAATTCTAACACTGTAGAAAGACAAAAATGTGCTTGGTCTGTGTTCATGAGATGGAGTAAAGGTCAGGCATTCAGTGTAGGTAATGAACATGGGGGTCCAGAGGGTGACGACTGGTTATCAAAGAGAAAACAAAGGGTTGCTAACAGTGAACCTCTGTGCTTGTGCTCTGAGTCACGAATATGAGGGAGAAAGAAAACATGATGATTAATAAAAGAGGAAAGTTCTGAGGATTATAAGAAAGGCATGTTCACTTCCTCTTGCAGACACCCAGCTCTGTGGTCCCTTCCCTTGGGAGAAGTCTGTCCTATCACTTTCTTAAATAAAACCAGCTTGCTACATTTGTGTTGGCTGTCTCTTCAGTGTTCATTCTTTGACTCTGAGGAAAACCAACCTCATCTCCACCAGATTAGCTTTTGACAACAGAGGCATGCCCTGATGGCCTAAGGCCCTCTTCTTAAAGGTTCAAAGCACCTCCTAATACTGCCACGCTGAGGACCAAGCCCTTACATATGGACCTTGGAGGGATACTCATTCAAACTCTAGCAGGGAGCAACTGTGATTCCCATGCATTGCGTGTGGTACTGCAAGATAGTACAAAAACTATAAAGAGTTTGAATTTAGGCAAGGACATATCTTATTTAAAAGAATTATTGCTAGCCAGGTGCAGTGGCTAGCCACTTGGGAAGCTGGGGCAGGAGGATCACAAGTTTAAGGCCAGCCTCAGCAAGTCAGTGAGACCCTGTCTCAAAATTAAAAATATTAAAAAGGCCTGGGGATGTACTTCTATGATAAAGCTGCCCTGGGTTCAGTTCCTAGTATAATAATCATCACAATAACAGTATTGTACAATATGAATAATATAATACAACATCACAATAATATTAATATTATACTGCTATATATTGTTATATTATTATTAACATTACTACTATTATTATTGCTAAAGGAAAGAAAGGGACTATTAGTGGTAGAGATTGCCTGCCCTGAGATTTTTGAGCATCTCAAAAGTGGGGCAGAAAGAGGCTTTTCTTTTAGAGAAGAAGTAAATGAAGCTAGAGAGAGCTAAAAAGGTGTGGGAAGTTGGGATGAAAGGGTGGATATGGTTTGATGAAGTGTGAATATTTCGCTCTGAGGTTAAATTATTGTCAGGTGGGCCCTTTCAGGAGGGCAGGTTTTATAGGCTCAGGCTGAGGGTGGAGCAAAGTTCAGGAGCAGGGACTGGGAGAGAGTTCAGTTAAAAGCTCTTGTTCTAATTGACTAGTGGGGGAGAAACACATCAGCTAATCATTTGTGAGGCTGAGTAATAACTTGGAGGGTGTGTTTCTGGCCTTGCTGTGGCAAATCTGAGCCTATCTAAGTCTTTGGGGAAGGGTCCTTTGTTGGGAACTGCCACACAGGAGCTAAGCACCCTTAGCCTTGAGCAATGGAGGTGTGGAGACTCGCTTCCATTGCACACAGAAGCAGGTGTATCTCAGCTCCCATCGGCAGGGGAATGAAGCCAGGGGAGCGGGTGTCACCCAATGAGATGGAGCTACACCCCCCTGAAACTCAATCCCTTGCCTCGTTTGTGTTGAACTTTCTCGAATGCATTTGTCCCCAATAAATGGAGGATTTTTAGGTCGCTTG